TGAAGTTTGGCAAGAATCAGTATGAACACTTCAATAGAATAAACAATAAAAACGAACCAATTTCGAGGGCAATTCGAGGAATGCACTGGACAGAAGACGACCGCGATGATCTTTTAGGTTCTTGATCAATGAGTACAGATCGATCATTTGCTGATATTCACCACATTGCATCGCTCGCGCATTGCTCGTTGAAACTGATACTGATGCGGATGCATCTCTGAATAATCACACAGCTTAGCATAAACACCAAACAATACGCACAAAAACAAACCTAATAGAATGCAGCTCAGCATCATGACTAAGATTATCGCTGTCCTGCTCTAAACGCTCAGCATTCGATCGTCTCGCACGATGTTTNTGATACTGACGCGGATGCATCTCTGAATAATCACACACCTTAGCATAAACACCAAGCAATAATCACAAAAACAAACCTAATAGAATGCAGCTCAGCATCATGACTAAGATTATCGCTGTCCTGCTCTAAACGCTCAGCATTCGATCGTCTCGCACGATGTTTCGATGGCAATTTCGTGTTCACCCACCTTAAAGCACATTAACATTAACAATCACACACACCAAATGCACACACAAATATCAACATACCCATATTTCTGCTTCATATAATTCGGACTGAACAAAGGAGCATCGTTAAATGAAGCCAGCGTTGACATTACAACCGATTCCAGCTTGGACGAATCACGATAGATTTGCGATCCGGGCTCGTTGAATGTTCGAGCGTTGTTGAACAATAACTTTATATCAGTTATCAATTCGTCCGATGATATGTACTGCAAACATGCTCATTATTATTGCATCACTAATGACAAATAACAACAACAAGCAAGCAAACTACTTCATCAGCATCGATCTTCCCTTTGATTATATTCATATCAACCGGTTTCTCGATCACATCGTAATACTGTGGATAATCATGTCGTGATGGCAACACCATGAACGCATCGATAACACGTCGCGTTCCATCCTACAATTTCATAATAATTATCATACTCATACTTAATAATCAAATAAACAACAAACAAATTACCATAAAACAAAACGCCGAATTCCATAAAGCCAAAAGCTTATCACGATATCTGGTCTGCAGTTCGTTCATTGTTTTTCGACCCGGCTTACTGACTCGATTCGCGGTGTGATTCGCTTGACGATGTTTATTATTACTATTATTGACAGACGACGGGGTACAAATATTCATTTTCGGTTTAGTGAGCGGTGATGAGGATGGCGTTTGACTGTCAGTGCTTGAGATTTGTTGTGGCTGCTGATCGTTGGGAGCAGCTTGTTCTGTTTTTTGTTCATCATTCAGCGCGTACTTCTTAAATAAGTATAAATGAATTATTATCAATTGATTCCAAACGCTATTATCGTTAGCTGCGCGGAAA